AAGGCAAAACAGCTTTAAAAATCAAATTTTATTTAGAAGTTAATTGTGACAATGATGAAAAAGAGGGGAGATATAAAAAGATGCAGGATCGATTTCTCATGGGTCGAACATGTCAACATTAGCGACGACGCCATTATAAGCTACAAGACACTAGCCTGGGCTGCCTAAGAAGAGAAGAGAAGAGGCAGTCTTACCTTTGGGATACAATTTAACATGTTCGTCTTTTATTCCGTATCTAAACAGATACCAAGTAGTGTCATCACTAAGAAAAGTGCGCATGTCACTCTCTATGACGCGACATGATTTAGGATCAGGATGACCGTTTTCCATAGGGGTCTGGTAATGAATTACTTTATCTTTTCCGATGTAGATTCCTGGAAAAGAGTGAAACCACAACAACTTAATTAACTAAAAAACCTTTGTATATCTGTTGCCAACATTCCCCCTAAGGATGAGATTCGTGGAGGAATCCCTTTGTCAAGTAAATTGAGCTTTTCTTAGCTCTAGAGTGACGTCCTCGTATATTCATGTGCAATTTTTACTCATTTAAAATTTTGAATTTAAATTGTATTAACCAATAATATAAGAACAACGATTTACGCATATACAATGAAATAAATACATATTAGAAGGGGCAAGGACACCGCAATACTGGGGACCAGTGCACCAAAACGCCGTCACCATTGATTATACAGCTTCCTGGACGATATATTGTTCGGCAATATCGGGYAYTCGMCCCRCGGCAGCTAGATAAACAACCCCACTYAYAATGCATGKTAGGCATAAGAAGAAACATTAGTTAGTGTGTTAATGGTTAGTTAAGTTTGGTGGCACAGGGTTATATCCCTGCCAGCAAAGCTAATAGGTATAGTCCCAGTAAAAACCAAAGAACCGATACCGGCTTCTAATGGATTACATCCCCGATAATAATATACGTATTCTTCATTTTCACTATACGTCACAGCGGSCATCTTGAGGAACTTTARCCAAGGATTTTTCATTAGTATCTTTTGTTCATTTCTCGAACATGGCCGCCGGTCTTATATCTTTTATTTCATGGGAATTGTTGAAAACGATCAATTGATAATAAAAAAAACTATATATATATATGCCAATGTGCAGGCACAAACATAAGGCATTACAATGTGGCGCGTGTAGTATAAATACCGTGTAAACTTGAACTTAGCTCAATAAACTCCTGAAGATTGAGGCTTTGCCTCATGAAACAGGCCTGTAGAGGTTTGACGAGTTTTATTCATAAACTATCTAAATACTTCAGCTCTGCCTAGCATCGAGCGCTCTACGTGGAGTAACTCCGCCAAATTTTACAGATATATATGCCAATTATATTGCTCTACATGTGTATTGAGCATTCTTTAAGCGCTCTGGACCACATTACAAGTATCCAGACATAGATCTATCAGTTTTATTCAACTTGAAGTAATTATCAAAAGAGGGAGCCTATCCAAACAACTTTAAAAAGCTGCTAAGTGTTATGATACACGATGGCAGAGAGTAATCTTAAATATCCAAATTCAAACGGATTGTTTAACAATCGCGATGCATTTTCTATTACCTTTTCTTCCAACAATTAACAGCACTATATAAAGTACTTTGCACCCATGGTATTCTATCAGTATTCTTCCAAAAGTGTGGGTACATCTGAGCCAGGTCAGCCAGCGTTTCCCAGCTTAGAAATCCCTTATGCTTTGAATACTACCAGCAAGCTGTTTTATATTTGATTGACAAACAAGCGTCTATCTATTATTTTTTTTCTATTGGACATGATTCAAAAATCTCGCTTTTTATGTTAAAAAGTGTAATTTTCATTGAATAGTCACAGCAAAACAGGTAACTTTGAAGAATTGGATGTCGCAAATATATTACTACTTRACAWATCAACTTCAAGAGTTTATAAAAAAGAACAAGCCGACTTTTTTCACACATCCGAATAACTCATGTATAAGTGCCTTTTTAGAACTCACCATGATGGGAGTARCAGATCGATCTTGGTACGAAGATGTGGTCCCCGACCGTCGGGCTTGACGCCGAGCTTGCTGCCTTCTTCTTCTCCATATAATCCTCATTAGAAAGTACAGGATAATCATCGAGGCGGACTGTTTGATTTTGATATTCGAAACTTTTATTTATCAGTGGCTTGAACCACCAGTAACAGTCGAAGCTCCAAGCCAATCCGTTTCCATAGATACACATTAATAGTAATAATATGTTAAGTCGTTCATGAATAATTCATGATTGAGCGTGTTTCTTCAGAGGTTGTCAAACCATAGTTATTATATGGCCAAACATAGACAAAATCATAAAGGTGGTATATGTGTTCGTAATGAAACGTAATTAGCGTTGGGAAACTCACTGAAAAACTTTTTTGATCTTCGCAAATTTAGTTCTCCTGTTCCATGGAAAGTWCTTCGTTCGAGTTTCGAGGTAAAAAAAGAACGTTTTCTTTCGCTCGCGCTCAGTACGGAAATTTTTTTTGCGCGCGAAAATTGTTCGAAGATGCACGTGCGCGCGCATTGACAAAACATAAGATTAACAAGTGTACAAAGAAATAAAAACATAGCCATGGATCAAATTGATGGTGTTTTGTATCACTAGTAATCACTGATTATAACAATATTTGAGTAAGAAGATTGGTTTCTTGTTACTGTTGCCATGGCTGTAGTTCATCTGCATTCAACGTATTTATTCTGATTGGTGGAATTGAATCTCGCGCTATTGACAAGTTCGCTGTACGCGTTATAATGGTTCTATTATCAACGGAGTGGATTCGATATATGCTGAAATGGGAGGACAACTGAGCTGCTTTAGTAGCCGAGATTATAATCCGAAGATCACWCAAAAGTAAAACTGATTATTATTGCATTCTTCTTCTTTGTAACTCTTGCTCATAAATTACTGTTGCAGTGTTGTGCATCTTGAAAACCTCGATTCATGAGTCACTTTTTATGTTTGTGAAAAGGCCACRARCAACATAGAAACAAGTATTTTGTTGTTGTTTAGAATAATAAAGCAGAGAAACATCGCTGCACTTTACAACGACATCTTTGAAAAAGAAGACCATCTTGACAGCCTTTGGTAAGTAGCACAAGAAACTGTATAAACTTAAATTCGAACTAAAAATGGCTGATTATTTTAAATTAATATTTCTCTTTTAAGTTTCACCAACCGTTGTTTTTCCTAATGCGAAATTATAACAGCTTTTCAGTTAAAAAAATACAATAAAAAACTAAAAGCTTTTTGACTCAAATTAACATTTATTTTTTTTAGGCTTAAAATTTTAACCCTTGTGAGACGTCGGCAAGAAAAAGCCATCATTAGTTTTCGACTTGAAGAACTAGCAAGAAAGACTTTTGAGAAAACTTCGAATAAAATACTTGAACGTCGTAAAAAATTGCTGTTGGATGTCATGTAAGTCATTGATGCACTTCTTTACCATGGTCTTTGATTCAAACTGGTTTCATAGTAGTCTTAGTGCGCTTTCCATTTGTCAGAACTGGCTGGCCAGACCCAGAGAAAATGTCATTATATATCATTCCCATTTAGTTAGGAAATTCAAATTTTCAAATTCTATCCATTATTCTACAGAAAACCTCGAAATGACTGAAAAATGTTGACAAAAAGCATTATATACCTCTAAATAGAGTGGACTGGCCGGACAGTTCTGCCTAAATTGAAAGCACCCACAGTCTCGATGTGAAGCTCGGAGATCTACGAAGGAATTAAATTCTACAATTGATTTGATTTCACACATTAAGAGTGATAACATGATAAAGCAAAAAAAAAAAAGGTTTTTACGACCCAACCCTAGGGTCATTTGCAACTGATAAAACAACAAATTAATTTTCAGAATTTCTTTGTACGCAAGCAGAAGAAGCAGTCTTCATTTATAAACAAATTAACTGTTGAGGTCGTGAGTTTGAACACTGAAGTTATGGTTTTGAATGAAGATGTATGCTTCAAAATAGCATCACTCGACTAGCTTTTCAGAGAAAGAGTTATTCTTGAATTCATAGYAAAGTCGCAATATCTCAAGACAAACCCAAGATAGAGAACCCTTTAGAAAATCTTCTATTCTGACTGAAGTGCGGGAAAGAATTTCGAGGAATTTACCCRACTATGAGTTCTCATAATGCATCACGTTGTACATATTGACTCGCCGCGCAGCTTTTCTAACAGCACCCCTCCCCCCTCCACTCTCACCCAATCCCAAAAAGAAAAGAGTGGCACGATTACCCCTAGGAAGTAGACGCGCACCTTTTCCCGGTCAGTAAATTGATTCTTTAATGCTATTTGATGTGATTTTTTTTCTACAGAGCTACAGGCATACAGGTACAGGATTTAGAATGTCAACTTGCTGCAATTGTACACAGATATTCAACTCTCTGGTCTCTCGCATATGAAGACGACATAGAAGATCAGTTGGCTGACTGGAAAAGAGACATGCGCAGAACACGTTCCCACAATGACACAGACAAGGTCATACCCAGGCCTCCTCTCAATCATATGTGTTATCTGAGTGAAATTGAAGGCAAAATGAATACACTCCGTGATTCGTCAAATTTAGACGGAATCCTTGCCGCTGAAGAAGAACTTATTGTAGATACCGACAAAACTGAAAACTTAGAAGGGTGGGATAGGGGGGGAAAACTTGAAGTTCTCGACTGGAGACACATCTCAATCAATTAGAGTCCAAATAATTTATTGAACTATGATGTAAAATATAAAAGAGTATAATATTATTCACAAAAATATAGTTTTACACTTTTTTAATTTAATAGTAGAGTAGACAGAATAGAAATGATTTGAATAAAATACATATATTCTTTCGATTGTTGACAGAAAGTCTTTTAAGAATAAAATCAAATATAAAATTTATTATGCAATATATGATATGATAAAAATCAGCTACAAATGATCCGATCCGATTTCAGTATGTGCTGAATGATATCGTTTTTTTCAAAGGAGGTGACTCCACTCCTAGCAACTGCGGTCGTGACATGCATGGTCTTAGCCTCTTCGAAGATAAATACTGATGCATCAGTACTTTCGGAGAACAATGCGTCCGGCAAATGATTTCCATTAAATTTACAGAATTTTGGGCACTTACATCATATTTACATCAAATTTTTTCCTGATCTTGAAAAAAAGTGAGACCGGAATCACTATGTTGTGCCTTAGAACATATTTCGTAGTTGCTAAGTCAACTAATCTATCATTATATCGTATAATAATAACTTGACATTAGCTGGGAAGTTTTTAAATCCTTTAGGAGTTATAATTTAGTGATTCGAAAAGCGGGACGGTCTCACTTTTCAAGATGGCGGACGCATTGTTCTCCGAAAGTACTCAGTGATGCATGTATATGGATCGAAGCGTAATGAATATTTATTTAGAATTTATATGAATTTTTTATATCTATATGAATTTATATTTAAGACATTTCAATCTATTTATAAATCTATTCCATTTCTAAAAAAATACCAAAATTGATGATGCTATTTTAATTGATTTGAAAAAGAAAAAAAGATAAAAAGAAAGAAAAAAGAAAAAAAACTTTTAAAAAAAAAGAAGAACACGCAGCGCTGAGACTAGAACTCACGACAAAAACATCGAAAAAGTTTGGGACGATTCCCCCGAGACATTCTGTGAAGCTGAGGCGTCGAATCGTTTTACATTCCGGTTAGAGATTTCGGCTCTTCCATGCTATCCCGATAATTGGTCCTAACTTCGCGCTAACTAAAAAGCCAGTGAGGGAGAAGCTATCCGGCCCCTAGACCTTAGATGGATAACCCCTTGCACTAACTAGGCAACTATCGAAAATATAATGTCAAATTGGGGTRGTCTATTCGGTGAAAGTGCCAAGTGGTCTATTATTATGTAAATGAGCTTGGTCCAGTGGCGCATCTCGYYAGGGCGCTGTGTTTCAATYCAAAGGASCAGGGATCGAATCTACATGTAGTTCAATCATATCGCATTTTTTCCAATTTATATTTATCTAATTAAACAAATATTCATTTCTCTAATTATTATCTATTTCATTTTTTTATTCAATTTTTAATAATATTTTAGGTCGTCAAGGTAACCAGGGGRCCATTTAGTGGGTGTTGGTGGGTGTAACTTTAAATGTAACTTTGAATTTGTGATGGGCTTCCTGTGTTACTTAGTCTCTCTCAACTTTTCACCATTCCAAAAACAAACAAAATGGCGGGTGAAGGCGCATGGTGCCAGTTTGTTTATACTCACGAATGCAGAGATCCAGTGCTTGTTACTAAAGATATATTTACATTTGGGAGATCTCCAGGTACTTAAACTTAGTACTCTTATTGTATTGTTCCTGAAAATGTACATCGATGCGCCTTTCGAGATGAAAAAAAAATTGCTTTGCATAGCCGTTTTTAAGCTTATTCACTTTTTAGTTTATTTTGATATTCGATTTTCAGTCATATTAAGGCAGATAGGTACAGTAGTTTCACCTTGTTGTAATTTTTATGTTATATTCAAGTTGTATTTGTAGAGTAATAGTACATTAAGTCCCATTTATCTCAAACGACTTAGATGGCCGCCATCGTACTTGCTTTAGACAAGTTCAGGCTAGCCCTTGTTAAATTGAGAATTTACTTGATATTGATATTTAAAATTTGCTTGATACCAATTTTTTTATAGCTTCACAGTGTTAAAGTTTTGACTGAAGTTTGATATCATGTCATTTGAATGACAATAATGACAATAATGCCAATCAATATCATAACAAAAATTGTAGTTCCTCTTACATAGTACAATATTCAAATTCATGGTAGTCAATAGCTGTTTTTTTCCCCTATCAGCTACATGTAATAGTAATTTKGTAATGTTTATTAACACTTCTCCTAAATATTATAAGCTATATGTATAAACTCTTACGGAGTTAACCCTTGATTAATAATTAGCGCGCTTTGAATTACCTGGGGCTTGTACAGACTTTAATTYGATTTCCTTGTAGAGTGCGATGGGAGTTTTCTTGGTTGTAAGTTCATGTCAGCAAATCATTGTTATATCATGAAAGACCACCATGGAAAAGCGTGGTTRCACGATACAAGGTGAAAATTCACTTYATTATCAATTTGCACAGATTGTACAGTAAAAATATGTACTCTTTGTAAATTAATTTTACACGTAATTCAGATATATATTATGATTTGTATGTTTCCAAGATGTCAGTTGGTAAGGGGCAATGTTGACCGGCAAATTGACAAAGAACAAACATTTCTCTTGGAAATTCTAAGTAATTACTTATCAGACTACAAGAACTGAAGCAGTAACACCTATGCTCATAGTTTATTAAGACCTCTCTTTCTAAAATTTGTTGATACATCATAGGATGCAAGCAATGTATGAAAATGAATAATATTGAACAAAGGAAAACCAAAAATAAAGGATTTTGCAATGAAAAGAATTGTCAATCAAATTCTGTTCTGTTCTGTTCATTCCATCCCACAAATGTTATGATACAATAGAGCAATTCAGCTTACTGTGCAATTGCATTTTCGTCTTATAGTACAAATGGTACATTGGTCAATGGCAAAAGGATTAAATCACAAGTTAGTAAATCATTTAATAAAAAAGTACATACGAATGAATGGCAGCTCTTCCATAGCAGAGGCTTTTGTATATATTCATGACCAAGAAGTTAGCCTCCTTTGCAGACGTTATTAGTATCGGTCACAAATTCCCTCTCCACTGAATTTGTGACCGATACTAATAACGTCTGCAAAGGAGGCTACCAAGAAGTCAGCATAAAACAATAATTATTGTTATGTAAATTGTCTGTTATATTTCTTTGAATCGGCCTATAATATTGTACAATAGACACAATTTACACCCCCCTATCAAAATTGGTGTACAATATGGAAAGTTCAAAAGAATTGTACTTTGAATATATATCACAATGTCTAGAGTTGATATACATGTATGTGCACATTGATTGTGATAATTTCTTTCTTTCCATTCCTGTGTAGTCAGTACAGCTGTGTGATAAAGATGAGATAAAACTAGTATACAGAAAAGACGTCAATAGTAAGTATCTATAAAATATATCAAAAAAAAAAATATATATATACAATAAAAAGTAGAAAACTTAGTTACAAGTTGCGTGGCTTTTTCTTCATTTATTCTATTTATAAAATATATCAACTATATCAGCTTTAATTGAATGCATATAAAAATGTATAAGATATTAGTAATAGACCACAAAAATTCTTTCAATTTATTGTTCTTKTTCAATTGTCTTTTTTTTGTTCAGGTGTTGGGTTTGTTTATCTTGATCTCAAGCCTAAAGAGGATCAAGAGATCACTCTGGAAAATACTCAAGAATATAATGATGACGACAATGGTATGTACCTTTGTGGAGGAACCTGCATTGTCGCAATTACTATATCAGAGGAATTATTTTATTGCTACATTAAACTAAATGCAAGGGCATAGAGTCTATTAAACTCTAGAAAGAGGGGGTGCTGTCTGGGCACCCTAATCATCCCRCCCCCAACCCACCCCGGTGTCTGCCCTTGGCATCATATTCCAAACTCCAAAGTTAATAACATGATCCAATATATGCACAATTTGTGGTGCAACATTAAATTTTTTGTGAGAATCATTTTCCATTTTAAATTTGTGATACAAATAGAAAAAAAAACAACAAAAAAACACAAAAAAAAAAACCCAGAAAACAATCACAGCAATGTTGTGTTCTGAGTTGATATAGGAATTTGAAGATCGTATTCTATTTCGACTACATTATTGAATCAAGGGCAATTTACCTTACATCAACATCTATGAAATGTTTTGTAGAAAATACTCCAAAATTAACAGATTCTCAAGATAGCACCACAGTAACAGAAGAGAGTGACAAAGTTCAAGGCAAAAGGACACACTGTCAGGTTGATACATTTTGCTCCTTTCTTTATCAAATTTATCCAAAATCAATACAAAAGAATCACTGTTAGTTTATAGCATAGCATCAAATGAACTCTAGGTTTCAATCAATTGATTCATTAATAAAAGAGCAGTAGCCATGAACTTTTAAGGGCCAACATGTACCCATCCCAAGAACCTTTGCAAGCCATTCTCTTGTTATTACAAGTGAAAAGATCTCTTGTTGAAAATTGCTTTCTGATTGGTTCAAAATCAAACATGACCACCCAAGGTTCTTGGATGCACATTAGACTTTAATGAGTGTTATCTTTCAAAATGCACTTTTTGTCAAGTGCAAATTTGCATAGGAGGAGAGGAGAAGGACGAACGGTGATTTTCGAAGGGAGATTGCACGACTGAAAGGGACTATGTTTACACTGTTTTGATAAACAAAATTTCACCTATTGGATTCACATTACATTGAAATGGAGACTAAATGGAGCCAGTGTTTACCACACACCATCTTACAGTACAGATTAGTTGTTATTTCATTTCACAAAAAACCCATGACTACTTGGCTACTTGCAATCGCTGTTCGACCATTGACATTTGCCATTTTATCCGACAACCTTTTTTGAAATAGAGCTATATATTTCAATAAACATCCTTTTTGATTATGGTAAATTAGGCATCAAGTACCAGTGGAACAGATAGTCCAGAAGCTAAACGACAGCATGTTGACAGCAATGCTGATGAAGAGGCTAAAGCACCAGAGCTTACTAAGAAAAGCTCYTTAGCTGAGAATCTCTTGTGTAACATTTGTCAGGTATATGTAATGATATTATTCATAATTGTTATTGTAATGTTGCAATTTATATTGAATGCATACTCAACTATGCAGAAAGACCAACACAATGTTGTCTATATAATGAATGCATGTATCATTGTAAATTTGGCATTTACTTAATAATGAAATAAGATTTTTCTCATTTGAAGGATATTTTTCATGACTGTGTCAGGTGAGTCTTATTTGGTAAAATAAGTGAAAATAAAGTCATCCTATTGAAGATCATTTCAAAAATCAAAGAAGTGATAAAACCACCTATTTTGTGTGTATGTAGTCTTCAGCCCTGTATGCATAGCTACTGTGCAGCTTGTTATTCTCAATGGATGGAAAGGTCAAAGGAATGCCCAAGTGTAAGTTATGTAGAAAATGTTTACAAGTTAGAGTATGTACAGTATCATAATGTCACTGCCTCTATAATATTCACTTAATATTCACTTGTCACTGCCTTTATAATATTCACTTTCCATACTTATAATATCAATCATTGTTTTTTGGAGAGACGYAGTTTGCCATGCYKTGTGTAATAATATTAATAATTTTGGAAATACATTGTTTTTTTAGTGCCGCTTAAAGGTCTCAAGAATAAACCGAAATCATTTAGTCAATAACTTGGTGGATGCCTTTCTTAAAGAAAATCCTGGTAACTGATATGAAGTTATAAAAATTATAGATCTTTTTGTTTAATGCAGACTACTAAAATATCAAATTTTTTGATGTATATATTATATTGCATCCATTTTCTTTCAACAGACAGAAAACGGGCACAAGAAGAAATTGAAGAAATGAATAAAAAGAATAAAATAACAAGCGATATGGTAATTTACTGTTATAGCAACCCCCTTTTGCCATTGAACATTTCTAAAGGCCGATTTAGACGACACAACTTTTGCTTACAACCATTGCATGCAACCTGCATAAGTCATCCTTACAACATGGCTACAACTGTTGTAGGGATTTTAAACAGTTGCTTAATAGCCTCACGACAGTTGTAGCCATGTCGTAAGGATGACTTACGCAGGTTTCATGCAGTGGTTGTAAGCAAAAGTTGTGTCGTCTAAATCTGCCTTAATCTGTCCTGCTCTGCATCTACACCCATACAGAAACTAATCTTCATTGTTTTTGTAAACAGCTAAAGCCACCCAGAAGAAGGAATGATTTTGGTTCACCATTATTTGGAAGGGATTCTGACAGTGATTCTGTGGAGGACTTATCTGAAACAAGTGAATCTGATAACAGTTTTCACAGTCTATCAGATGATGATAGTGATGAATTCAAGTTAGTATAGAAAAAACAGCATATTTAGATAATATCTGATAATAGAGCTGTGTTTTGGTGTCATTAATACCTTGTTAGCACCTAAAATAATAATACTCCTCTGTGTTTTTATATGAAGTCCTTTTGGTGGTGGTACTYTGCCTGGGACTGTAGCAGGTTTATTTGGATTCCTAAGCCGAAGTCTCTCAAGGTAATGTTCAACAAAAGAAAACATTTCCTGACTGCACTTAATACCTTATTTACAAAACTTTAATWTATATTTTGATAATTTTTCCTTATTCTGAATGCTGAATTTCTAGCTGCACTTACTGCCTATCTACAAAACTTTAATTTAATAAATTAATTCTTTTTCCTTCATGAGTTATAAACTGGAATTATGTAAGCATGTAGGTCACACACATTCTCGCTGAGTGTTCAKTGTTATTGGTTCTAATATTGGAAAACCTGTTCAGCAGGGCCTTTGAAGTTTATACTGTTGTTTTCAGAAGCCCATCTCAAGTCTGTAGACAGTGTCCTTCAAATGGTCCATCAGCAACAACAGGTATAGCAGTGGTCGATAAAATACCAACAATAGTCTTCTTCATGGTTCCCTGCTCCATCTTGAAAGTTAGCTGTGCCTTTGCATTGAAGCAAGATAACCGTTTAGCGTGCAATGATAGATACCTGTGAATAATTGTCTGTAGGTGTGAAGGAAGACAAGTCTACCTTTCAAGATGGAGCAGGTAACCGTGAAGGAGACCATTATGACAGCAAGATGGTTTTGTTCCTTAGTATCATGCATTCTCCTGTAGTCAGTTGACAAACAAAATCCTATGTCATTGCTGGGTTCAATTCCCAGCTCACATTGCAACACTTAATAAAATGTGATATGGTGACAGCTGTTTTAACATTGAAATGCCTCAGTCTATGTATGGCATTTGAGTGGTGGGTCCTTCAGAGTTATGATTTATAGTAGTTTCATCAATTGTTAGACATAAAAAGAGTTGAACAAGGTCATGACCTGTTGCCTTAATCCTTAATGCATGCAGTGTACATTAT